TATGTTTGAGTTACTAGAAATTTTCCGATATTTTGGTTATTAACATATTAATAACATATCGAAAATGTAAAACTATACATTGACGACATACATCCACAATACAATACAACACAGAAACCAAAGACTGCGAATTATGTGGCAAAGACAATGTGTTTCAAAATTTTAGTTTTCTTGGTTTTATTTGATTTGTTCCATCCAAGCGCATGGATTCATCATATATATATACATTTGTTGCGACGTGAAACGAATCTTTTATTTTTTTTATCCCTACCGGCGTGCAAAATGATTCTATTGAAAATTTGTGTTCTTCTTTTGATTGATTTTCCCACCTATTTAGATGAAGATGACACGGATAAAGATGGCGTTACATCTCTATCAAGTGCCAGTCCAATTCCAGCTCACAAAATTTCAAGCACCGGTTCGGACATAGAAATATGTTTACCTAGATGTTCTATACTGTATAAATATGCAAAGCATAAACGCATACGGATGACCGTGCGATGGACGTATCACCAGAGCCATCGTTGTTTGCTGTATACTGTATTCATACACACACGTCTCGCAATGCACGATCGCCCGTTGATACGTTCGTCGCACGGTCGTCCGTACGCGTCTATGCTTTGCATAATTATCTTGCATATTTCTATATCCGAACCGATGCTTGCAAAATTTACGAACATATAGTTAAATCTCCGCCAGAGCCACCTCGCGTTAAATCGCCTGAATAAATTCTAATCCGTTCACCAGATCCAGTGATTCCCTTGGATAGTGTTTGGACAAAAATAAATATCTAGATAAGATAAAAGATAAGATAAGATAAGATAAGATAATATCTTTTATCTTATCTAGATTAATTTTAAAAAATCGTCAAATTATCCTTATCTTATTTTTTACACGTTATCTTATATTTTTTGAAGATAAATTGAGATAATTCTAAAATTGATCAATTAAAAATTTCAAAGGGAGGGAAAAAATTGCTATTGGATAAAAAACGAAAGGAAAAAATTGCAAGAAGAAACATTCAGAAATTGTAAAAAATATCAGAAAATAAATTTTATTTCGTACATTTTGAGAATAAACAACGCAAAGAATATCGAAAGAAATATTTTTTGAGATTTTTACGCAATATTTTTTGAGATTTTTACGCAAAAACAACCAAGAATTATCTCATTTTTTATCTGAAGATAATTGAAGATCTTATCTTTATCTAGATTAAAACACAAAAATTAGGTCTTATCTGGTTTTTATCTAGATAAAATTCATTTATCTAAATTAAACACTGCTGACAAAACGTTCACTGTTACACAAAACATTCACAACGGTGAGTAGATAACAGTTTTTGTTTTTGCATCCACATTTTGTTTCCAAACCACCCATCCACCCTGAACATAAACAAACAAACAAACCAACCAACAACAAAAAAACAATATGTGTATTTCCGAATCGTAAGCGATTCAATTGCACGACCACAAAGCGAATTCAAAGTCCCAACACCGGTCGATAAGCCACCATCGGCTGCCAGACCAAAACTAATGGCAGATTCGGATTCAGGGGCCCCAAAAACCATAAGAATGAGTCTTTTCATCTTGGGAGAATTTTTCGAAATTTGTTGAGTAGTGTATTATCAATGATTCCGAACGTTCAACAAAAAATCAATGCTATGAATGATATAAAGGTGTCAGAAGGACCGAATGTCCGTCCGTCTTTTTTTCCCGTTTGGGCAAACGGACAAATTGTCCCTTTAGTTTGTTGATTTTAAGAATTTTTTTAGGTATGATTTAAATACAGAGAGAGAATGTTGGCTTTTCTTTTGACAAATGACTACTTTGGAATGATATGTAAACTGAATCTTGAAAAAGTTTTCCGCAAATGTAACACTTGAAAATATTTTTTCGGCTTTTTTATCACGTGACTACAACAACACTTGTCCCGCACTTTTAGTATAACTTTTTTCAAATTCCACATTTAACTACGTATCGATAAACGTCCAACGAATTCTCAATAGTTCATGTGATGTATGCGTTAACTCTTTAACACAAATTTAACATTAATTTATATCTTTGAATACATCTTATACATTTTTGGAAACGTTATAATTAAACTTTCCAGACTTTTCGTAGAACATTTCCAAGGTCCAATTGATTTCTACTTGTAAATTTTATTATTCAAAAAACTTACTTCACGATTTCACGTTCACGTTCTTGCAGATAAAGCATTAGATCAGTTAGTTCAGCAAAAAGTTTATTTGTTTTCTCTAATTTTTCTTGATAAATTAAGCGTATGTCTTGGGCATGTTTCCATTCGGCTGTCCGTTTCCTTAATTTAAAAAATTGGGCTTGATTCAATGAAAAATAGTCATTTTCCAACACGCTTTTTGTAATTACTATATATATATATACTAAGGTGGTTGAAAAACCACCCTTACCTTATTAAATCTTGCTCGAATTTATGAATATTCGTGCCGTTTTGAGTGATTCGCAATACGTGTGATCGTACTTCTTCTCTCCACGATTTTTGTGTTTCGAAATATTCTTGTTCAGATTGCTTCAGTAATTCTGGTCCGGCAATTTCTAAGTGATTCAATAAAATTTTGAATGATGGGCGATTTCGTGGTTTCACGCTCCAACAAAGTTTTACGATGAGCTTAAAACCTTCCGGGCATGTAGATGGTATGGGCTGAAAAAAGCTTTATGATAATTTCCAATTTATTTGAAAATAGAATGCTTTCTACGGAAATTCACAACTCCTTGGACTGAATTAAAAAAAATTGGCTTGATTAAATGAAAAAAAGTCATTTTGTGACATGCTTTTTGTAATAACTATATATTAATATCACGGAGGACGATAGTCCGACAAGTGACGCTCCAACAACTGTGCATTTCAAGCCAAATATCAAAAATGCCAGTTTTTGCGTCACGAGTATATTATACAGTAAGTATGCTATTTTCTCAGGGCACTATTTGGGCCCCAGCATGTTAGGTACCGTTGGAAAGGTCTTGGCCCAAATAGTCGGAAACTGCATATCCCCCATGCCTAAAGTGTGGTCTGGGCAAAAATATAGCGGTTGGAAAATTTCGATAAATTTTCAAATCTATACCCATATCTTACAAAGGGGGTACCCAGGGGGTTGTCTGAGGTGTCCAAGAGAAGCTCCTCCTCACCACCTGTCCAACGGCGGTCTAAGTGCCCTGATTGGTCCAAAAACGAAAAAGTTATGGGCATTGGCAGTTTGATCTTGATTTTTTATGAAAGTATTGATTTGGATGTGCGTGTCCCCGTTTGTCCATGAATTTTTATGACCCCCACAGATTTCGGTGTCGATATGCCCAAGCTGTAGCTGGTGTCGGGCCACATCGAAACCCGTCCTCAGATTGACATTTGCATTACAGGAGAGCTGGCTATGGCTTCGCTAGCCTGCATGTATACGATTTTTCCAAGTATTTATTTCGCACACTAGATCAACTCAGACGCCAATTGGGCAAAGTCAGCTCGATATCATTTGAGACGACCTTCAAAAAGTTCCATACACACATGCCAATGTTTATGTGATATAAAAGAAAAAAGTCGATTTTTATGAAAAATCGACCCCCTTAAATTTCACGCCAAAGGCGATTTCTCAAAAATCAGCCCGACAATGTTTTACCAAAAACTGAGCGTTTGTAGCCGGCTACCATACCAACAAAATGGCATATGCCATATATCCGGGAAAATTCGTATTTCGAAGTTCTGGGCATAGGCAATTCATCAATGAACGGAATTTGTACGAAGAGTCACATTCTACGATGAAATTGCTGCCAAAAATACGCATCTACTGGCTGAAAAAGGCTCACGAAAGACCATATCCGCTCAATTTTCGACTTACAATCGATTAAAAGTGGTCACGATGCGATTTGAGGCATTTAATGGTCGAAAAATAGGTCGGATTGAAGTGAATTTTCCAACTTGCTCTATTTTCACTGAAAATGACATTTTTGTTCGGAAAACAAGTGAAATAGAACTCTGACGACACTTTGGTCTTATAAAACTGCTATTTGTTCGTGAAAACACGAAACACTTGAATATCCATTTCGTTGTCATTTTGGTCATAAATCGGCATTTTGGCATCTGAATGTATGATATTGAACTTTTGTTCGGGGGATACATAAAAAATGCACTTTCCAGAGCTTTGGTGGTTGGAAATTAATATGTTTCAATGAAGTAATGGGTCTAAAATTACTTCAAAACTCTTTTAATGGATATTTTGAAATTTAATCATATTTTACAATGTCCAATAAGG